ATTTGAAGAATTCCATGCTGCATGCATGAAATTATCTTATCATGATCGTATTATTACTACTAATGCATAATACGTACACTGTACACACATGCAATTGTAAGCAGATATTGACTTGCACGCAACACCCCCGATCTACAAAGCATAAACCACCTATATATATATATATATATATTATATACATGGCAAACCAACTTTGAAGATTGGCATGAAAAGCTAGCCAGCCTTGCGCTCCATCTTATCAAATACTTAAAGGCTAATCCATCACCTCCCTTGCCATAAAATGCATCCACTCCACCGTTGCTTCAAGATTTGCAATTCCTGATAGTTTCCGAATGTAGATTGTTTATTATGTACAAAAAAATGAGTTGTTTTCTATCTGACTTTCACGCGGGTTGTTTTCTATCCTTATGAACCAACGATAAGGTTTAAGTCCTAATCTGAGGCAAAGAAATTAAAAAAAAATCCATATCAATGGATGGTCATTGGTCACTATAGATTAAGGATAGTGCTTGTTCATGGATATATGGGATGGGATCTTAAGCTAATAAAAGACAAATTATTAATTTGGATTATACTAAGACAACAGAAAATGGGTTAGAATTAACTTAAATATTGATTGATTAACTGGAAATTAAATCATTACAAAATAAATAATGTACCATAAGATGGGTGGTGAAGCATATGCTTTCCAGGATATTCCATCTGCCCTATTAATACAGCTTTCAGCTGCACGGCATTGTCATTCATTCCATACATATACCTTACTCTCTCAAAAAGCTGTTCATCATAAAAAGAAAGAAACAACAACAACCAACAATGAGATTCAGCACTAGTTTGATCTTGATCAAGCTTTTAGTAATTCAGTACCTCTCAGTTCTTTGCGTTTCGCAGGACTTTGATTTCTTCTACTTTGTTCAACAGGTGCGTTTGCTTCAATTATATATCTAGCTAGCTAGATCATTTTCTTCTTCTTCTTCTTCTTCTTAGCTCTTGTTTTTAACTATTTATTAATTCATAACTTAAGTAGTATAACTAAATTAATTCATTACCATAATCATCTTTTTGATCCTGCAGTGGCCAGGAGCATACTGTGACACCAAGCATACTTGCTGTTATCCAAAGTCAGGAAAGCCTTCAGCAGATTTTGGCATTCATGGGCTTTGGCCTAATTATAAGGATGGCTCCTACCCATCTAACTGTGATCCCGATAGTGTCTTCGACAAATCTGAGGTACGTCTCTCACACACACAATAAGCATTTGAAGATGGTATAATGTAGATTGATTGTTTTAACTTTTAGCTAGGGTTCAAAAGTATGCATTATTTGTATAGGCAGCGCTAAGCGCCATATGCCGAGGCTCATGAGTCATGGAGACAATCAAACAACAAAATAAGTATACATAAATAAATAAAAAAGCAATGGCGTGCATCAGTAATATTAAATAATAGATCGATCTAAGAATCCAAAATTAATTAATTAGTTATTCTAAATCTATACCACATGTACTTTGGAGAAAGGGGAATGCTTAATCGCAACCTAATTGAAAAGATACATGTTGTTTTATGTGGTGATCTCTATTCTCTATGATGTTGTCTTCTCTTCCACTCCATGATCTCTGGGGAAAACACAGACACAACATACGATAATATTTTGTCTTCTCTTTGCTTTTGATGCCTTAAATAATATATAATAATATAATTATTGTATTGGTGTTTAATCAGATCTCAGAGCTAATGAGCAACCTGGAAAAGAACTGGCCGTCACTAAGCTGCCCAAGCAGCAATGGGTTCAGGTTCTGGTCCCATGAATGGGAAAAGCACGGGACTTGCTCAGAGTCAGAGCTTGAACAGAAAGATTACTTTGAAGCGGCTCTCAAGCTCAAGCAAAAAGTTAACCTTTTGCAAATCCTCAAAACAGCTGGTAATTAATTAATTAAGTGTTAATCTTATTACTTTATAATTAATTAACCCTACTGCGTCTACGATCAAGAGGATTATTAACTAAAATGTAAAAATGGATGAAATAATGCAGGGATCGTACCAGATGATGGGATGTACAGCTTGGAGAGAATAAAAGAAGCCATAAAAGAGGGTGCTGGGTACACCCCAGGGATAGAGTGCAACAAGGATTCGGCGGGAAATAGCCAACTGTACCAGGTTTACCTGTGCGTCGACACTTCCGGCCAAGACATCATTGAATGCCCTGTGCTTCCTAAGGGACGATGTGCTTCAGATGTTCAATTCGCTAAATTCTAATTAATTAGAGTTAGCATCAGCTAATACGCTCTTTAATTGGTTCTTTTGTTTTTCTGTACTTAAATTGTACTTATCTTTTCTGCGTCATAACTAATTGACCAGCTTCCTATGTTGGTAATAAATTTTTATGAAATATTACTTTCTCTATTTTGTCAAAGCAAATTAAGTTTGGGTTGCGTTTAGGGGTGGGCATTTTAACTAGTGAATCGAGCCGCACAAAACCTATCTGCTCAAGAACCGAACCAAACCTGTCTTCAAATTAAGGTTGGATTGATCAACAACAAATAAATGATCAACAATACAATCTGCTCCCTATAAATATGATATAGACGAGAGTCCCTACAACCATTAATTAAGCCAACAAGAGACGAGTCCTTAACCCAACCACCATTATTATTTATTCCTCTTTAATGAATCTCATAAGAAAAATTCACCACAAAAATGATGTTGGTTAGGCTTCAAATTATTTTATATTGGGTACAACTGCAGCTTAAGGCCCAAATAGAACAAGCTGGGCCTGAATTGCTTGCGGCCTAGCCACTCCACACAGTCCTTGATCAAAGCCTATCACAAGGTGGCGGAGAGGGGCCTCTAAGCACAGCCCGACTACAGGTACAACTCAAAATTTAATTTTTGCTGACCAAGGACAACCCAAATTTCGTACTAAGGGTAAACATGAAAAACAATACTTGCCCTCATCTCGTGGAGAAAAAACTTATTTATATTAGAGATACCATTGTGGCGCTATCTCAAGCCAATCACTTATTATACATGGCCTATATTTTAGCAAGATAATGAGTCTCATTCATGACACATCAGCATTTTTAACGGAGTTATTGAGTGAGATGCAAAACATCAGTGAAGGGACCAAAGTGGGTTACTTTGAATTTCAAGGGGCATTGTAGTAATTAAGACATTTAATAAATAAATACATTATGGAAATCAAGGCAATGCATACAATCAACAGTTGTCATTTGTAGCGTTTTGTAACGAGTTTATTTGGTGGATGGATCTTTACATATCTGAATAAAATGATATGTTTCTTCATCCATACACGTGCGTGCGCTGTCATTTTAGTAGGTCCTACTCTAAGCGACCTCCCAAAAACATTTATTTTATATTTATTTTATGTTCACCTTCACCATCAGGTTCGGTGACGTGTCGGTGATATATAGTACCTCTCTACCAGATGCATTTATATTATGAATAAAGTTTTAGTATCAATTAACATCAAAGTCGCACAAAAATTCATCGTTAAGAAGCCACAAACCAAAGCCTAATGATGTTTTAAATTAATAATTCTAAAAACAAAAATAAAAAGCTTAATCATGTTTGATTTGGTGGCGCATTCTGATTGGGTGCTTTTCCAAAGTCACCTGTTGGGCTGTCCCGAGCTAAAGCCTACCCCTTTGGACACCCGGTTTGAAAATTACATTTCACCCGCAAACAACGGGCCGTAAATTATTTATTATTTGAGTTGCGTCACTGTCAATAAACAAGGGCAAGGGCAGAAGTGTAAATGCACACTGAGGAGGCTTAGCCACTTTCTTTGTCTAGCTACCGGCCCTGGTCTGCAATTTCAAGGCGCACACAACAACAACAGCACAACACTGGGCAATTGTACGGACCGCCTCTCGATGTTTATGAGGAGGCGGGGCCTCTATTGGTGGGCCCCACTTTCTATGACTTTCCATGATTTCTATCGACCCCTTTAAGCTGTTACTGACTAACGCCGACAAGTTTCCGTCGCGATGAAATTGCCGCATGTTAGAGAGAGAAGCCAAGGCAAAAGAAAGCGTAAAAATAAAATAAAGGAAATGAAGTTGACCGTATGTATCACGCTGCCCATTAACAGAGAGCCACGTCAAGTCACGGCGTTAATTCGCGCAAAATGTCGTTGTCCAGTTGGCTTTTCCCGGTCAATATTCAATATAGAATGTGGACAAGGCAAATGGAGATTTCTTGAACAGCTGAACAGGTCATTTAAAGCAAGAAAAAAAAAAGGTTTTTCAATTTTTCAACAACTAATAAAATTACAAGATTCTTCTTCTTGCTAAAATATTTGATGAACACGTTGCCACACTGGTTTGATGCCAAAAATAATTTACCTTTTTGTAAAATCAATTTATTTTTCTAAAAACATAAAAAATATGTTTTTTTTTCTTCAGACTTCAGATGTGGCGTTAACTGCTTTCATCCTTTGAAATTACAAATTATTTGTAAAAATCATGGTCTAAATTACAGAAAATGGAGATTTCTCATACACACAACAAAGATGTCATATGAGTTCAATGCCTTTTTCCATTGGGTTAGATCTCGTTGACAAAATTATGGTGTTTTAAAGTGTGAGAAATAAAAGAAAGAGACAAAATGAAATGCTAATAGTGTCTGTGAGTCATGGTCAAAAAAATGACATTTTAGGTATGATGTTCAATGAATTGGTAATTATAAGGATATTACCATACAATTAATTCTTATTATTATATATTATTAAAAAAGAGTCCAAAAAAAGCAAACTCTAGAGTAGTAGTAGGTGATGAACTTAGCCCAAAAGAAAAGAATTCATTGTACTTTAATTAGAGTGCAAAAATAGAGAGAAGAAGAAAAGTTAAGTGAAAACACAAAGTCCAAATTCTTTTAATATGCTATTTATTATTATTATTATTAATAATTATAAGTAATATCCTAATTTTTTTTCCCGAAAGAAATCGATAATTTAATAAATTGAAGTATATTGATCGAACAGACTTAAAAAGGGGACGAAATCAAGTCTTCATAAAGACCAGAACAGTTTCTTTATGGTTTCCCACCGTTAACGCGTAGACTCAAAGGTTCAAACGGCAACGATCCATCACTCTCTGCTCTTTCTCTCCATTTCAAATTTTCTCGGCGACTTTCTCTCTCACTTTCCGGCATTGTTCCAAACAAAGCTGCTGCTTTGCTGCTTCTTCTTCACAAGGTAAACATATGAGCAAATTCTCCACCGTCTTTACTTCCGTCATTTTGAGCCTTGTCCTTTTTAGTCATATTGCTAATTTTGCACCTCTGTGTTTTTTTCTCCTTATAATTTCTTGTTTTGCTGTAGCTTAGTTAATCCAGAACTCCTCAGTTCTTCTTCTTCGCTTGCTCGCTGCGTTCGGATCTGTCCGGTCACTTGCTTCCGGCTTCAATTGATTCAAGCACTGTTTGCTTGACGAGAAAGTTGACGAAGATATCATAATCAAGCTTAGCATATGTGTGCCGTTGAAGTAGCAGAACGATTGGAGGTATGAGTTTTCTCAACTCTCGAACTTTGATGATTTATAATTTAGGAATTCAATTTAGCGTATTTTGCTTATGGTAGATTTGGATGAGTTCACGAACTAGTAGATTGATTTTTACTTGATTTTATTTTATTTTGCTTCGGCGTTAATGGTGGTTCCGAACAATTTTTCCAGTAGGAAGTAAAATACCGCAATGGCATATCCAGTAAATTCAACTAGAAATTATGTTAGTCAAAGAAGAAAATGTTGTATATAATAAACATGTATAATTTGATATGATAATTTTTCGACCGAGAAATCTAATTCACTGAATTTTCCGTAATTTTGTTTGAGCTTTAGGTTTGATTAAACAATTCGTCTCCTCTTAAAATATAGTCATTGCAGTCTCGTGCTTCTCTACGCTATCACTTAGTAAATTATAGCATTTTGCATCTGATCTGGTCTCCCGAGAATACTATAAAGTTGCTGAAAGAAAAAAACAAAAAAAAACTCAACTGCTCCTATGTATTTGACCAATTGATCTGTGGAAAGTCTTGACAAGGAATGAACTATTACTGGTGGTATTTTGTTGAAAAGTCTGAAAAATTAAATGCTGGCTTTCATGACTATGTCCAACTATGTTAGATCAATTCTGTGATGTTTCTCAAAATAGTTGGGGAAACAAAAGTCCATGTAGGATTTAGATTGCAGATGATATGCGATTGATGCCATTGACAGAGCCTTATATCCCAATCTCTTTTCATTGAATTTTCCAGTTGTTGCTTATGTTTCAGTAACTGTTCTCTCCATTTAAGAGTAACTGTTGTGGCGCGCTACTGATAAATTTTGGGTTTTGGTTCAGCGTGGTAGTTGGGTTTCATGATGATCAATAAGTTGCGAAACCAGGCTCAGAGCTATTGATGCAATTTTGTAATCACCAAAATGAAGAAATCTTATGGCGGTATTGTGGCTGCAAGTTTGTTCATGCTGCTAGTTTTGAGATATGCCATCCTAAACTACCCCACTGGGGATAGTTTCTTGACCAATGCACTCTACACCAATACTAGTAATCCTCTTGAATGGTTAAATACTGTTCCACCTGCAGTTCAGAATCCAGAGAATGCTTCTCAAGTTATTTCTGCTGAGATTATAGTCTTTAGCCTCTTTGCTCAGAGGAATGTATCCAATGAGGAACAGCAAACTATGCAGACATGGAACCTTTTGAAACACCTTATCAATCAAGCTCAGGGTTTGCCCCATGCGGTGGATGCTATAAAGGAAGCTGGAGGTGCATGGAATAGCCTTATGGCTTCAGTTGAAGAGCAAAGACTTGGTTATACAAATGAAAGTTCACCTGGGAAAGCAAAAGAGAAGCAGTGTCCTTATTTTCTCAATAAAATGAATGGGACAGGAATTGATAATAATGTTCATAAGTTGCGGGTTCCTTGTGGCCTGACTCAAGGTTCTTCAATTACAATTATTGGCGTTCCAAATGGACTTGTTGGGAATTTTCGGATTGAGTTGACAGGGGAGCCTCTTCCAGGGGAGCCTGATCCACCCGTTATATTGCATTACAATGTGAGGCTAAATGGTGATAAGCTAACTGAGGACCCCGTAATTGTCCAGAACACCTGGACTGTTGCTCATGATTGGGGTGAAGAGGAGCGTTGCCCATCCCCAACTCCTGAAAAGAACAATAAAGGTTAAATTTCCTGCCTCATTTTTCTATTAGTCAGCTATAGCAAAAAGTTTAGCATGTCGCTTCATCTTTTGACATATTAAGTTGATAGTGGAATTGCAGTTTCAGTATTATGAAACAATTTGACAACATAAATCAAGTTTGACCTTTTCCTTTAGCCCATTCTTCCATTTTTCATCAGGGTGTGCGTGCATCAGATAAAAACTATTTTCTTTATAAGTAATGCATATTAAGTTCAACCCTATTAAATAGATATTAGTATAAGTGTTTCTGCAATACACTATGTGGTGCAGTTATTAGTGACACTGAGAGCTATCTGTATATATATTTTTAACATTTGGGTCATAGCATGCTAAACTGTCTTTGTAATTTTTACTAAAGACTGAATATAATGTTTTAATGTGAAATCATGTTCAATGACTAGTTTCTGTCCAGTTATACAAGGCCTATTTATATTTACTCTTTCTCTGTATTAAAAGTGTCAATGATTGCATGTGCCAGTGGATGAGTTGGACCAGTGCAACAAGATAGTCGGAAAAACTGAAGAGCAGAGGATACGTTCCAATGTTTCAAGACAGTCTTCAACTGTGCAAGACGGATCAAAGTCCAGAAGATACTTTCCATTTAAGCAAGGTTATCCATTTGTTGCTACACTTAGAGTGGGTTCAGAAGGAATCCAAATGACCGTTGATGGGAAGCATCTAACATCTTTTGCATTCCGTGAGGTAAGTTCTTCAATTTTAATTTTTCTTGTTGCGTTTGAAAGATAAACACTTGTCTCTTTGAATTCATATGCTGTTTTCCTGGTTTTGTTCAGACTTTGGAGCCATGGCTTGTTAGTGAATTAAGGATATCTGGAGACTTGAAACTAATTTCTGTCCTAGCCAGCGGTTTACCCTCATCAGAGGATTCGGAGCACATAATTAATTTAGAAGAACTCAAATCTGCTCCTCTCTCTCCTCACAGACGATTGGATCTCTTTATTGGTGTTTTCTCTACCGCAAACAATTTTAAACGAAGAATGGCTGTTCGAAGAACATGGATGCAGTATGCTGCTGTGCGATCAGGGGCAGTTTCAGTGCGCTTTTTTGTTGGTTTGGTGAGCTAAAGTCTTGTTCTTTGTTAAAGTATTGACAAAAATCAGCCATATAAGATTGCATGGACAATTTTCAATGGACCCAAAATGATCTTCTTTTAAAGGAAGTTCCTTCTGATGGACAGAGTCCTGATTCTTTTCATACCAATCCACATCTTAGTTCCAGATTTATCATTTATTTTTTCTATCATTAGGCATGGTAAGCATTAAAATGCAAATTTATGCTCTGTTTTTTCACCCAATAAAGGTCTTTTATTACTTCTTTCTGTTTCTTTTGAGCCTGTTGCTAAATTATTCATCAAGTTTGAAACGTATTGCAGCACAAGAACCAAATTGTGAATGAAGAACTCTGGAACGAGGCACAAACCTATGGAGACATACAGCTGATGCCTTTTGTTGATTACTATGGCCTCATTACCTGGAAAACTTTGGCCATCTGCATCTTTGGGGTAAAAATCTTACTTTTCCTTGAACATGGGAATATCTGTTTTCTTGTTCTCACTGATTTAATCTCTTCAACAGACAGAGGTTGTTTCAGCAAAGTTTGTCATGAAGACGGATGACGATGCATTTGTCCGTGTGGATGAAGTGCTAGCTTCCTTAAACAGGATCAAGGTGACTCGTGGGCTGCTTTATGGCCTCATTAACTCAGATTCCCGACCTCATCGAAATCCAGATAGCAAGTGGTATATCAGCCCTGAGGTAATTTCTTTTGTTGATCCTATTTAAATATGAACGTATTTCCTTCTGCATATCATACCATGCAAGCTGTGATTTTCCATTGGTTGAAAAAAAAAAGTATCTACTTCTCACATAATTTTCTCCATTCATCGGCTGCTTTAATTTAGGAATGGCCCGAACAGACCTACCCGCCATGGGCACACGGTCCTGGTTATGTGGTATCGAATGACATAGCAAAGGCAGTTTCGGCACGGTATAAGAAAGGCAGTTTAAAGGTAAGAAACAATCTACATTTTTAAACAAATATAAAGAAAAGCTTGAAATGAGATGACAGAATGATTTCTTTATTTGACCATCTGAAAGAAAAAACACTGCTTTGTCATATCAGATGTTCAAGCTAGAAGATGTGGCGATGGGCATCTGGATTGCAGATATGAAAAAGGAGGGTCTAAATGTACAGTACGTGAAGGAAGAGAAGGTCTACAACGAAGGGTGCAAGGATGGCTATGTCGTTGCGCATTACCAAGGTCCGAGGGAGATGCTTTGCCTGTGGCAGAAAATTCAAGAAGGCCAAGTTGCTAAATGCTGTGGGGGCGATAGGTAGACAAAATTCGATTATCCATTGGAAACCTTTTATAGCTTCATTAGCCTCCATCGAAGCTGAAAAGAGAAATCTTGGCAACCCGATCTTTTTGCAGAGAGTAGTTGACCAAGATTGACCAAGGCGCTAACTAAAGAGGAGATATATTTTAGTGACTAGCCGACCACCATTGCTGTATATTTTAGTGATATTACATAGTGTGATGCCATAGGATATATAGTGTTGAAATTTTGCGCGTTCAGGCTAGGATGCAAAAAAACTTACATGTAATGGGGATAGTATTGTTTTGCTATCCCAGCCAATAACAAAATGACACGTGGAAAAGTTATCCTACGTGTTATTGCGTTATTGGCCGGGATAACAAAAAGTGCAATCCCCGTTACATGAGAGTTTCCTTAGGATGACACACACAGAGGAGAAATGTGTTGAAATGTATAGAATCTGCGCGCAGTTAGCATGATTTACCTAGAATCCTCATCATTTTCTTACTCTTGGATCTTGCCCTTCTCATTTAAAGAAAAAAAATAATAGAACAAGGGCAAAATAGATATAGCAGATGCAGATCTATCTTGGCAAGAACCCATGTTCAGAAATTGCAATCTCAAATGCCTGAATCCTTTCCCCGGTGGCAAAACCATTGCGATCGTAAGATGATATTTCATGTATGTTGAGATCGTTGCATGCCTTGATGAGCTCCATGCCGACGCGTTTAGCAGCTTCCTATCAGATGTTATAGCATAATGAAGTTTAGAGAATTTGCATTACTATCATCAAATGACTCTCTAAATTGACAGTGGCTGAGAGATCTCTCTTACACAAGCTTGGAGTGCACTTACACTGGTACTACAAGGCGAATTCTGACGCATAGATTTTTGCAGAGTGCTTCCATAGAACAAACAGTTCTTGTTTTGATCATCTACCAGCATAGCATACAACTGTTTACCTGAACAGAATACTGAAAGCCGCGGTCTTTTAGGCGTGCCATTATACTGATCAAGGAGTAGAAAACCATGATTTAGCGGATTAGAAACAAAATGAGCCCTAAGACACACACTTAACTCAAGCATCAGGTAGCACATTTTTCATCAAATGCAGGGAGAACGATATACCTTCTTTTGCATTCTTCTGTTTCGAATTTTCGCACTTTCTGTTCGGGCATTCCCCCTTGCTCTCATTACCAACGGCTTCACGGAGAAATCTACATGAATCACAGCATTTGCCAGTAAACCCATAATGCAAATTTGCATGCACCAGTGATACAGCTTTTCCTTATCTTTTTTGCATTGGACAAAAACACAGACCCATTGAGAAGGGTTTATATCTTTTGAAGAAAATAATAATAATCTAGTGTAAGTTGGCTTTGACTTACTTATTCTAGTCTGCATGGGTTGTTGAAAGCTGGAAGTTGCTGAACGAATTCCGAAAAGAGCAGAAGCCGAAAATTGCAGAGCAGCCACATTCCCAAGAGCCATACTCATACACACGTAGTTCTTCAACTGTTTGACTTGCTGAAAGTGAACAATGCACTATGCCACTTCGGGGTCCGAAACATCAAAACACACGCTGGAAATATTGAAAAACGCAAAACAAAGCCGTTCAGGAATTTCATCAAACACTTCGTGTGCCTTTCAGAAAGTTGAAATTATAAACATCCTTGCATCAGCCGATTCAGCCATGACCCATCAATAGAGAAGAGACAGGCTTTCGTTCTGGCGGCTCTCTAGATTGTGCTAATTATTTCTTCACCCTTTGAACCTCTTTTTTTTGGACACCCTTTGAACCTTGGAAGGGTGAAGATAGACATGAATGCGCCTTGTATGAAAATTCGCAATCTTTTTATTTTTTTGTTTCAATAAAAAATGTTTTTTTTACTCCAAAATGTGACGTCACTGTAAATACTGATAAAATACTTATCCACGTGTTATTAGGAATCCCGCGGTTTCTAAAATAATCACAAATAAAATTCCAGATATTTCTTTTGTCCAGAAGTTCCAGATCTTTCTACAACCTTCTTCCTCACAGTTCTTCCCCTCTTAAAACCTGACCAGTCCCAAAGCCGAAAGCCCATTCTCTGTTCTTTTATTCTTTGTGATTCTTTAGCTTCTCCAAATCCCTCTCTTATTCTCCTCAAAATTCTCTCTTTCTTTGTTATTGATCACAAATTAGCAGAAAGTACCATGGCTTCTGAAGCAGAGGCGTCTGAGATTGCTTCGTTTCTTGAAAGGATTGTGAGGGAGAGAGACCTGTCTCTGTTCGTGCCCTTCATCTTGGGCCTGGCAAGCGCCACCCCGAGAACTGACCCGGAAAACCCAGATCAAGAAAACCCCGGAAGGCCGACCCCGCGTGAAAGACTCATCTTCATCAACCCCTTCGCTCAGACCATGATGGTGGTCGAAGGCGATTCTTTGCAAGAGTTGGGTATGAAGGATGGCCAGCCACCGGCCTCGAAAGCCTCCATTGATGCCATGCCCTGTGTAAAGATTGTTGAAGGTGATGGTGGGTCCGAGTGTGTGATCTGCTTGGAGCAGTTTGAGATTGATGGTGTGGCCAAAGAGATGCCTTGCAAGCATAGGTTTCACGGTGGTTGTATAGAGAAGTGGTTGAAGATTCATGGGTCTTGCCCGGTTTGTCGGTATAACATGCCTGTTGATGAGGAAGAGCCGGGGAAGAAGAGCGATGGCGCGGACAGAGAGAGGAGGGTCGAGGGAGAGATTAGGGTTAGCTTTTATGTCCAAGATAGCACGAGAGCAAGTGAGGATTCTGAGCAAACACCTTCAGGTGATTTTAATGCCAGTGATTCATTTTCAAGCCCAGCAGCTGATCATGATGATATGCAGAGTTAGAAAACAAAAAATTTAAGATTTCTTCTGTTCTTAGAAATTTGTAGGAAGGAACTAGGAAGTGATTTGTACAGGCTCGGAGCTTTAAGTTTCATCCGGTGAAATAGTATTTCAAATTTCTTTTGCCTCCTTTTTCAACTTTTATCATGATACGATGGTAAGGAGGAATATCAAAGTGAGTTGGTGATGCACAGATCTAAATGCTTTGCAGAATTTCGAATTTGGAGTTGATCTCAAGTGTTCACACAATTCTTTATTTTTCCAATAAGGATTATTTTTTCTGTTGTTTGAGTGAATTTCAATCCAAAAAAAACTGAAAACTTTTTATTCAAATATGTACATGGTAATTGGCTAATACAAGTTGATGAAATTCTGGGATATGATGGGTTTTAAGCATAATTAATTTCTATCTTCAAGAATTTTGATCCCTTGGTACCTTCCAAGCATCAACAGAGTGGCCATTGGATTTGTGCCTGGTGATTCCAGGAAGGTCGACCCATCAACTACTCTCAACCCCGTAACACCATATACCCTGTAATCTTTGTCAACCACTGACCCCACAGAGCAACCACCATGATAGTGGTAGAAGGTCCTCACATTCTTCTTGCACAATTTTCTTAGCTCATCTTCAGTAGACATCAACTCATTTTTGCGTTCCAACCCCAGGAAGAAAGCAATTGATTCAGACCTTACAACCCGCTCAAGCAACTGCCCCAGCTTTACACATCTTGCCCAATCCTTTTCCTTTGATAGATAGTTAAAAGTCACTGATGGGTTTTCTCTGGGGTCTGTGCTGTTCAGTTCTAGCTTTCCTTCTGATTCTGGAAACGCAAGTTTGGCAGCAATTGGCATTACTGTTGCATTGAGGCTAATAGGTAAAATTCCTGCCTCAATTATGATTTTGAAGTGATCTGCTATGCCGACAACTTTTGGAGGTTCTGGTGGGAAATTTTTGGGCTTAGAGTCAGCTAAGAGTGCAATGCCAGGATTGTCTTTCATTCCTTTTCCAACCCCTTTTAAGTCGGCTGCTAGTTGAATATTGAACTTCTTTAGATGTTTCTGAGGGCCAATGCCACTTAACAATAAAATCTGAGGGCTGCCTAAGGCCCCTGCTGCTAGTATCACATCACCCCATGAACATGAGTTCTCTGGCTGGTTGAGGTAAGCATCGTAAGTTTGGCTCGAATTGCCGTTGCTCTTGATGAATCTTATGCCTCTAGCTGTTGTCTCATTTCTGTTACCTGCAAAACCATTTAGGAAGTCAACCATATAAAGGCTTTTTATCAATAAAGAACTAACACCAGTTTCATGCTTTACCTTTTTCTCGAAAGATGACATTCTTCACAGTTGCATTTAAAAGAACTGTGATGTTGTTTGGATTCCCTGCGTCTAGAAGATCAGCTGAGGTGTGTCTTCTTCCCCATCCATCAAATACACTCCCACCAACCTTTGTTCCCTCAATATGCTCCAAACTAAAACCATTATATGGGAAAATTCCTGCTTCAAGAAAGCTAAACTCAGCAACATACTGCCATGGGGTCAATTCAGGTTTAGAGACAATTCTCGATTCCACCCATTGATAAGCACCCATTACCACCTCCTTATCCCACCCAACTTTTTGGACAAAATCCTCACTTGCTCTACTATAAAACCCACCATTTATAGCAGATGATCCTCCTAGAACTCTTCCTCTGAGATTGGGAACACCGTCATTGGAGATAAAGCTCTGTGCAACTGATGTATATTTATCAGTTTGAAGCAATGAGAGCCCATAGTTCTTTGTTTCCAACACCAAGGGATTTCCATATGGTGAGCTACCTCGTTCCACCAAGAGCACTGAGAATTTCTCAGAGAGGGTTGCAGCTAGAGGACAGCCAGCGGTGCCTCCTCCAACTACAATGTAATCGAAGGACTTGCCTGAGACTTCATTGACATCTGAAGTCATATGGGGAAGCGTTCGTCCTACAATCACAATTAGCAAAGCAGGATATCAATGCAGAACTTCTAAATGAGATATTTGCTAGAAATAAACAGGGTAATGGTAGTAGCATACCTTGAAGCCATGAGGAACATAAAGCCAAGTCAACAAAAAGGAGGAGCAGATAAAATGAAAAGCCCATTACTAAGAATGGTTTGTTGTAGTGGGAGCTCCAGGCATGGTGCTTCCATATAACTGTGGATTAAGGAGAGAGGCGGGAATAGTTTATTTCCGAAGGGGGAGGGGGGACAGACAATTATAGAGTTTGTTGGTGCTAGTAGCATATTATTATAATTGATTGTTTCCTCTGCATTCATTAGATAACAATCCTCATGGCTTAGTTAGTAATCCATCCTTTTTTATTGTTGGGCGTCTAATGATTTTGTTTCTATCATGATTTCTCTCACCCTTCATTGGTTTTTCATTTAGAATGTGTAGTGGAAAATTGTATCTAAACAATGCCCTGGCTGCCCTTGACAAACATAGAAAATACATTTCAAGAACGCTCTGATGTTATTGATTGACATGATTATATCTAGTCATGCGACATGCAGCTATAAAGTAGGTATCATATATCTACAAAACATTCTATACGTTCTAAAGTGTCTTATGACCCAAAAAGCGAGTTTGTTAAATTTAATTTAGGAACTTCATGATCAGACAGGAGCAGTGAGCAGTTTCCGGGTTAGCATTCAACACGCGTTCATGTACGCACATGAGAGAGAGAGAGAGAGAGAGAGAGAGAGAGAGAGAGAGAGAGAGATGGATCCACACAATATATTATACCTTCTTTTGATATGAATATACTTTCAAAAGTCCTTGGAGGTCCATACATATAACAATGTACATAGTATATAAACAAAAGATTAGCACTTAATGGGAATTAAGTTTGCTCCATAGACTACACATAACTAAACCCAGATGGTTTCAAACTTGAGGTCTTAAATTCCCTTGCAATTCAAGTCTATTACTTTTGGACCAGAATCAATGTCATTCTGATATTTTCTGTTCAGATCCAATAATCCAGACTTTCTCAGATGCTGGCCACTTTTGTCCCTTTGTGTTGGTGTTCTTTTAGAAATTGGTTGCTCAACACAGATACCATAAGAAATGGGACTGCTGCTTCTCTTCCTCCCAATAACATGATTGTTTGTAACATTATTCCATGGCTTATTTTCTGGGTGGATGTCCATCAATGGTAGCTCCACACAGGTTGTATTAGACTTTTCAGGATCACCACCATGCTTATGTATTGGTTGCTTCTCTTCCTTCCTTCCTGAACTTTCAGAAGATGTCAAGGAACTTTCCATGGAGCCTCTCATTTGTTTCCTCTCTATGTATTTTAGGCTTGAAGTTCCTGTTTCAGTTAATTCTGAGAATGAAGAACTGGTACATCCATTGTTAACCATTGAGACTAACTGAGTGAGTTCAGCCTTTGCAAGTTCTACTCCCACGGAAGAAGAACTATACCCAGAAAGAGTTTCTTGTGCTTTCTTTAGTACTGTTTGTAAATACTTCCCTTGAGCTTCAATTCTTAGCTGAAGATGTCTCTGCACCTGAAAACAGAACTCTGGGTTTGTTGGCATGCATTGGTAGTTTTTAAATATGTTTATGAATTGAGGATGGGTTTATGTTGGTTTATCGGTTTTACCTCAATTTGTTCATGAAGTTTCCTCTGCACTTCCATTTGCAATTGGAGAGACTCAGCTATCTGCAAGCTTCTGATAAACATAACAACACTTAATCAATAGGAGTTCTTTGTGTTGTCATTTCCATCTAAATTCATCAAAGAGATGGGATCTATTTTCTAACTATATTACTCATTAATCTGACAGTGAGTTTCATCACTGATATCCGTGTCGAAATGATCATCACTGCTCTGAATCTCTTTGTAATCTGCATCAGGGAGGACAATCAATATTGAGATTTCAAGAAGATTAAGAAGAAAAAAAAGAGTAAAGATGATGATCCTTTATAGGAAGCATTGGATTCACCTTCTTGCTTAATGTCAGTGCAGTTTTCTGACTGTTGGCTTTTCCCTAGCCTGTATTTCTGCACAAGAAAACAAAATAGTTTTACAGTTATGCTTTTCCATAATGGTCTGAAAAAAGACTGGATGTGATCAACCAAGAAAAGGGAGAAAAATGCCTGTAAGTGGCTCTTTAGGTGGTACAAAGTGAGTCCATGAATTCCCATCACCCTCATCAAACTCTTTGGTGTGGCCTCTGCCCATACGTGAAACAAAGACATTAGAACTTTGTATAGAAATAGAAAGAAACTAAAAATGGATTTGAAGAAGAATATCAATCAAGCTTATATACTCAACTGTCTGCCCCTCCAAGCTGATTGACTGCTTCAACAAATCTTTGATGAAGTTCTGGAGTCCATTTTAGCCTGGGCTTTGCATCAGTGGACAAAACCAAATTCATATTCTGATTTTGCATATTCTGCAGCAGACCCATTTTTGTATTGTGGATGTGAGAGAGAGATAGAAGAAGGCAACATAAATGTTGGTTAGGAGCTTTAAAAGCTTTGATCCAATCTGTGGCAGCTATAGAGCTCTCTTTATAATTTGGAGTAGTTGGCCTGTCCTGTGTTCTCACTCCATATCTGGAAACATAAGTGGGGTTATGTTGGGGGAATATATGCCATGAGCTGTAGTTCCTCCTTTCCTTCCATCTCTCATTTCATACCTACTTTTCTTTTCTTTTTTATAATTTTATTTTCTCACTTCTTTGACTTGAAAGAGGTGGAGAGAATCTCTGATGCAGCAAAAACAGAGAAAGCAACACAGTTCAATTTGAGTCTTAAAAGGAGAGAAAAGAGGAAAAGTGTATGGTTTGTTTTATCTTGCTGTTTTCCCACCTCTCTCTCTCTCTCTCTCTCTCTCTCTCTGCTTGATTCCCTGATGAATAAGAAACCCCACCATGATGAATAATGGGTGCAACTTTCCTATTAGTGTGAGGAGCAATGCAGAAAAATATGAATAAAGAAATAATTTAGTTGATGGGAACGTCATAATGGATATTTCTTTTGGTGACTGAAAGGGAAATGGGTCTTTCTTTCCTTTTAAATTTATCTCCCTTTTATTTATTTATAAGTTTCTTTTCTGAGGAGGATGTGGTGTGATTGGCAGATTCCTTTTGTTCTTTGTAAGGATGGAGGAATCAAAGAATCTATGGTTAGATTTTGGGACCCCAAACCATAACGTATTTTTCTTGTAAAGAAGTATTCCAGAAAAAGTGAATCAAATCATCAATTTTTAGTGAAATAAAGATATATACTTTAAATTTCTATGTGAACATTACATTATTATTTAGTTTTCTATTCCATCCAGAAATTAAATTAAAACGAGTCTTGTATGAAATAAAGATTAAAATTTGGATCCAAATAAATACAGGAGAATCTTGGTGGCTGAGTTTCATAAGAAGCTGGTCATACAACCTATATTGCTAGGGTTAATATACAGCACTAAATGCCACTAGAGGTTACATCAATCAATGGTTCCTGCCTTGGATGTTTCACAGGCAAGGAATCAAGTATAATTGCCTCATGGACCTAAAAAACTCATCACACTTTTCCTGTTTTCCTTTTTTCTGATATATAATTCTGTCCATTGATCATGCTCAAAGAAAAACCTGACATTAACACTTGGATTGAATTAATAAACATAACCAATATTATTAGTTAACCTCTTTTGTGAATTGTGATGATAAGTTAACCCTCTCTCTCTCTCTCTCTCTCTCTCTCATGCTTGCCAACACAAAATGAAATGACATAAAGGGCAATCAACAGGGGTCACTCTGCATAAAAGTCCCATAAAGAAATATATTCCAAAGGGATTGTTAGCTTTAATTCTGTAATCCATATCCAAACTGAACTGAATAAAAGAAATTTTCACCCCCAAAAAGAAAAGAAGAAAAGAAAAGGAGGCCACAATGGCCAACAACAAATCGTAAAAGTCAATTGCATCAGATTGATCTTCAGATTTCTTGGGCTGTGGTCAAGAGTTTGATCACTGGAATCAAAATCCAATCATTGATCTTCAAAGGCTTGCCATCCCAGTGTTACACATTCAGTTGGTCTGCTGCATTGATAAACAATGTCCCAGGATTCAAAGCTGATCAAGTTTAAGATACAAATTTATATATCTTAGCTTGCTATTAGAAGTTTAAGATACTAATTTATGTTCAAGCATTGGATCCTTACAATCCGAAAATCCCTATCAGTTGACTCGCCGCGTGTTAATTTAAACTACAGCAATTACTATACTAATCAGGTAGTTACCATCATAATTCCTTCATCTAAAATGGGTAACTGTAAGATTGTAATGGCAGGAACCCACAAGTGATAGGTCATCTAGTTTCATGGAAGTGGAGGGTTCTTCCTGAGCAAGCATTTCATTTGCTTCTTCTTTCCTGAACTAATATCCTTGGTGGCAAGCTCATATTCAAAGCAAGGAATAAAATTATTGACAAATTCCTATGGTATGTGGCCCGAATGTTTGAAAAACAAGAAAAGAAGAAGAGTTATTGAAGTACCTTTCTCTTTAACCAGCTGCTGTACTTGAAGCTCCTTTCTTGCTTTAATATATTCCATAACAGGTAAAGGAGATTCTAGGATGATGCCAAATGGCCCCTGCTATTTTTTTAGGTCAGTAGGAGAAGGTCCAGTGAATCAAAAAGTCATTTATATAAATATAAATAAATAATAAATAATAAATAAATAAAAAGGTGCCTCATCAATTATTATTCCACAAAGGACCCATTGGTGGAGATCTCACAATATAAAAAGCATGGATAGAAGATGAGAAGAATATGGCCTCAGGAATCAAGAAAAGTGAAACAAAAGGAGCCTGTCAAAATCCCACCAAAGAATATATTTCAAAACTAATTGGTGCAATGCAATATTATGTCAATCACAGAGTCGCTTACTGAAAATGACGTGAGCAATATGTCACCAGTCAATTTCTGTAACACCCAACCCAAGTCCATGGTTAAGAAGGAAACTAGTACACAACTAACGACTTACATGCTTTTCTTGCACCTGAGTTCTTAAAGAGCTAGAGCGAAATGCACAAGGTTAATTACTGTCTTCTTTCTTTCTTTCTTTCTTTCTTTAGGGGGAGAAGGGTTTCTGTCTAACTACTGTAGTGAATTCAGCTCAAATGCATTGATAAACAAAGTGGCAAGCTCTAAATTTCAAGGGAAATCACCTTCAATAAAAATTAATGGCTCAAAAACATATCAAACTTTAGTATTTAAGCAGTATATTGGTGTATTAAGAATGTACTGGTCCAATGACCAAACCAAATGTATGCAATACTTGTAGAAGGAAAGGAACGCGTCTAGAGAGCCGACAAGCCAATGGTCAGAATGATCAACTTTCTGTTGAAGGTTCTGTCAATATTACTTGTCTGTCCACAAGGTATGCTTAGCCGATTATGCAAGCAATAGGTTTATTTTACATCTTAATTAGCATGTAGAAAGCTATACATAGGGGCCTAGCTAGTCTCAAGACAGTAGTTATCTCACACTAGTTAAAATAAGTGATGTCCATTTCTAGAATCTGTACGAGGCACGCCATCTTTGTCAAAGACCCCAAGACTAGACTCAGACAAAACACAATCATGAAGAATATTCCCTCCAATAATTCAGGCAAGACTAACTTATTTCCAGCAAAACGATACGACTGATGCAATAATACATCTTCACTGGCATCTGAAAATCCAAGACATAGCAGCATGGCACTGGTACATGGAGAGACAAAGCCCTGGTTCAATTGGATTCAAAATTCTCAAAACAAATAGGGTAACTCTAATTTCTGTTTAATTCATGTCAGGCCTAACCATGATTTAGAACTTAGAATAATATATGGAATTGTTTCCACAGCATTCTACATCTATTTTTATTTCCTATCTTTCTAAGAAACTAAAAAGAGCTAATAATGAGTAACTACTTCTTCACCTACTTTTTCAACAATATGAGATCGCTGAGCCCATTTCAAAACTTAAACAAATAACCATTAACTCCACCTCAGCCTCCCAAAGCGGATTATAAAACCAACATAACTCTGATATGACGTCTCTCAAAGCTAAAAGGATTGGATTGTCAAAATTCTACCACTCATTAATGAGCCTTGAGCCTGCAGCTGGACAATTGTATTGAGTTTGCAGCTAGCCTTGAGTTGCAGCTAGTTAGCCTTGAGCTTGCAGCTGGTAATTAATGTAGCAACTAGCTGATTATTGTAATTAATGTATGGGTTAATTACACTTTAGTACTTTGTGATTACACTCTTAAGACATGTTAGAGCATCTCCAACCGATATGTCAAAAGTGTCACATAGACATTTAACAGCTAGAAATAACATCTCACACACTCCAACCGATGTGTCAAAGCTGATGTGGAATAAAGGCTTGTGTCAAAGCTGATGTGGAATGAAGGCTGAAGATTGAGATGTTATTTTTGACATCCCAAAAGCAAGATGTCAAATGAATATTTTATTATTTTTTCTTTTCTATTCTTTTTAATTAAAAATAAATCAACACTAAAATGTAATAAAATAATAATTTAATTTGACATATCGGGTGGAGTGTAAAGCTGTGTAAGATGTCAAATTGCCACATCAGCCATCAAATTTAAATTTGATGTTTGGTATTTGACATCTCCCTTGGAGATGCTCTTAGTTCCTACATTTTCAATTTTTACAATAACATACTCCGGACTTTTAAATTTGTTACAATGTGGTTTGGCAGTTAGGTTTTTCGTTAGATCTCTCCATTAGTTGCCTACGTGGCGTTGTGAGTCCCACATTTTTTAATTTTTGTTAATTTTAAATTAATTAAAATATTAAAAACAAAAAAAACCCAAACAATTGCCATTAATCATACTACTCAAGTGCGCAATTCACCATTAATCATTGATTAAACCGATAACAGCTCAATTGCTCTTTGCTTCAACATTTAACCAAAATTTAAAATTTTCCAGTATTCAATCACAAAGTCCAAAAATCCCCAAAACACCAGAATTCAATCAAAATCAAACCCTAAAATGAAGCTTAAACCCCATATGGAACCCCAATCCATACCTCGTCGGCTTTGCAGTCAGCCTGCGAACTCGTCGATTTACGGTCTTGCTAGCGCGCATCATCATCGACCGCACCACGATAACTAGTATCGTCATCATTGTCTTCATCGTCACCGTCATCATCTCCATCGTCGTCGCCGTCAGCACCCCATGTGGTGTCGAGTGACTCGAGGGCTCTCTGGCACTGCTCGAGCACAGCCTACAGAGTTTTCCGCTTCACGTGAAGCTTATCCTTCACCGAATCCACTCTCCACAATTTCGCATCGGCCCAAGGATTCAAACTAGAGACCTCGACCTCCATCCCCAGAACATAAAGCAAGCTCTGAAAGCCTTGAAATTTATTTTGCGATAGCTGACGACGAAGGCCTGAGTGAAAGGTTTTGAATATTCTCGATGATTTTCATTGAACAATCGTGTGATAATTATATGCAATGCTTTGCTTGGTGTCTACACAAAAGATTTCCTATTCTGGGCAAGAATCAAGTCCTTGAGAGACAAGGAATATATACAACAAATCTATTAAATAAATACAAATAAAACAGGAAACTAAATCCTTGTAGGATGACGTCTCATTACTTAGAAGGATTAGGGGTTTTTTCGAAGAGAAGAATGAAAACTCTCAGCCTCATCTTCCATCACTTCTCCACGCT